CCTGGGGTATCCCCCTGAGCCGAGCCAAGGCCGCTGGAGCCGGCAGCTCCCCCGCATGCGTTGGTGGGATACATGGGATCTGCGAGGTTGCCTGGGACTACGGGAGAGCTGCCAAGGCCGACGGGCCCGTTTCCTGGGCCAGAAGGGACCACCCCCTTTGAGCCAGGCAGTCCATCGTGCATGGCGTTCAGGGGGTAGGCACCGTCCGCGCCGTGAGACATCGGCCAAGGCTCGACGTCCCCTTTCTGACCGTTGAGCGGCCCAAAAGCTCCATCGCCGTAGCTGTTCAGCACTGGCCTCTCGTAGGGCGACTCCAGCACCCCCGAGTACTTCTCCGCGTACCTCTTAAGGAGGTTGGAGGCCGTCAGGGCGGAGATGTCGTCGTTGGCCCAGGCGTAGTTGAAGCGCTGCCGGCTGCTGTGGTAGAGGTCCGATTTGTGGGCCGGCGAGGAGGTGGTGGAAGAGACATCAAGGTGCTGCTCTGGCCACTGGTTCAGGGGCTGGGCATGCTCTGGTGTCCAGTGCATCTTCAACAGAGCTGGGGAGAGGGAAACAGAGGCAGAAAAGGTTAAATGCGGTCCCGGAGTAGCGCAGCAGGACTAAGTGCAGCACCCTGCCGTTCTCAGCCTGCTAAACATTCAGGAGGCCCTGGCTCAGTGAATGGCTCCATGGGGGGATGTCTTCGGCTGGGAAGAGGCCAAGAACCCCTCACCTAACTGAAAGGGGGCAGATCGTTCGAAGAGCAGAACAGCCACAACCCCACTGAGGTTCCAGGAGCTCAGGGCGGTTTAGCCCCTGGGAAACACAACCCACGGCTTTCAGCCGCCTGACTTCCGGCACTAATGTTTGAATATTGTCGCAAAAGGCTCCATGCGGGCCAAAGCGCCCCTTTTGAGGCTGGGGTGGCCTCCCTTTGGGAGCGAGTTTCTTCTCCCCCGTGAGTAGGGGGAGCAAATCTCTTTTATTTAAAAAAAAAAAAAGCGAATCAGCCTTCACAACCAAAAATGTTTTAAATTACACAGGGAAAACATTTGGTAACCAGTTAATTGGCTGCTACAGCCCAGCCAGGCCTACCGCACCAAGCTGTGGAGGCGGGGGTGTGTGTGTGCGTGTGCGTGCGCGCGCACGCTCCAGACCGACCAGGTTGGAGCAATGCCCCACTGGTGACACTGGTGCAGCGGGTTTGGCCTGAGCAGCCCCCGCTTGTGGTGTAGCAGGCTCAGCCCAGCCTGGCCAGAACAGCCCCTGCACTGCAGGTTGGGGTTGTTTCAGCCTGGTCCGGATGGCGTACCCCACCCCTGACTTGTGAGATCCCAGCTAACTGGTTAAATGTAAGTTTAGCCTGTTATCTTTTAAAACAGGATTTTACATCCCTAATATTCACCTGTATCAGAGGGGTAGCTGTGTTAGTTTGTATCTGCAAAAACAACAAGGAGTCCTGTGGCACCTTGAAAACGATCAGATTTATTTGGACAGAAGCTTTTGTGAGCAAAACCTCACTTCATCAGATGCATGGATATCTCTCATTCCCTGCTTTTCATGGGCTAGTATATTTATGTCTGTAATTTCCACTCCATGTATCTGACAACATGGGGTTTTACCCACAAACGCATATGCTCAAATCAATCTGTTAGTCTTTAAGGTGCCACAGGACTCCACATTTTCATTTAAGCTATGTCTACACAGCACAGTTATTTCAAAATAACAAAGTATGTGTCTACACACAACCAGTTATTTCGACATAATATCGAAATAATGTCCAGCCGGAGGACTTCTTACTCCAACTCCTGTAACCCTCATTTTACGAGGTGTAAGAGCAGTTGGAGGAAGAGTTCTCTATTTCGAAGTAAGTGCCATGTAGACATGCCCAAGTTCGAAATAAGCTATTTCAAGTTGCGTAACTTATTTCGAGTTTAGCCCTGCTGTGTAGACGTACCCTTGGGATGCTTCTACACAGCAGGGCTTAACTCAAAATAAGCTATGCAAATTGAGCTACGTCAATAGCTTATTTCAAAATAGTTTATTTGAGTTTTGGTGCTGTGGTGTGAGTCCTATGAATATACATCAGATTTTGTATTTACAGGATGGGCAGCAAGGATGTAATAATTGGGAGTATATGCTGAAATCGTGTCTCTGATCACAAGTGACAATATGCTTTTTGTGGAACGAGGTTTACAGGAGCGGTCAACAAAGGCTGCCCTTGTCGACCGATCCGTGTCTTGACTAGTGTGCTATG